CCAAGCTAAGGACAGCTAATCTCTGTCTTACAATGCTACAACTCTCCAATCGGGCCAGCCAACACCCCGCGTGGTAGTGAATCATCGCCAGCCTGATTCGCCCCAAAGCGAAGGGCCAGTTGGCGCTGCGACCACTCACCAGGTGGTGGGTGGGTGGCCGGCACTCTGACCGAAGGATAACGGAGGGTGCAAACTGCGGAAGGTGGAAGGAAACTGTAGAAAAGAGCGTGACTCAAAACTTGATTCAGTTGGGCGGCAAACCGCCACTTTGCCTCCTTCAGGCCCCTTTCCGCTACTCTCCCTCTTCCACCCAGGATCCGGGCTTGGAGGGGCGACGGATTCCACTGTTTTCCCGAGGAACAACAGGAGCCTTCAGGTTGCAGAGTCACGATGAAACTCACGTCTTTCAAAAATGAATTCAGCCTCACCTTTAGCTTCTATCATCAACTTATCTATTACCTGATGGACGAGGTATGTACGGCCAGGTTGGGGGCTGGGTTTCGATTCTGCTTGAGGCTGCCTTGTCTTTGCGAGTGGCTGAGGGACGGGCGGGAATACAAGCAGCGCGACCCATTTTTTTTCAAATATCATCCTTGCCAGTTTGGGGCTGCCTAAACTGCCTCTTGGCGAGTGCCCAGATCGCAGATCAGAGCGTTCCTCAATTTTCCGAGATGGCACAACATGGCGCACCCACAGTTGGCCACCCAAACAGGCAGAAGCACTCCTGCCGACCCGATGAATACTACTCAACAGAAGAGACTGGCGAACAGAGTCATGACATTATTGGGACGGACACTCGATTCGTAGATGGGCTCGCCGTCGCTTTGGCCAGAAGGTATGTTTTGTACCGAGTTCTGTGTCCAAGTAACCATATTACAAGTATTTGGCCCTCAACCTTCGCCAGAGTTGTGCAATCTGCACAAAATTCGTCCGACTTGTGAGTAACGACGCGAAAACCCCAATGAATATGTCTGCATTTGTCATCATATAGACTTCATATCACAGCAGCCGGTCGTCGATAACGGGATGCGACATCGAACACTGGCAATGCCCAATCTCACAACTTGCCGCCCCGCGGCCTGGCATCATGGGCCACCACTCTAACAACGGGATGGTGTTAGAATGCCGTTCGATGCCGCCAGTTCAGACCCAGCATCCACTGCCGAGGGGAGGGGAAAGATATGGTTGAGACGTTGCTTTCGATACCTAACCCTTGCTGGCCGTTGGCTGCTGCCTGGACGAGAGCACCATGTCATCGGATGCGAGAATGAGTGCCTGAGATCCGCTTCGTAGCATCGCTCGACTCATCCGAATACGGATCTCCAACGCATCTGTGAGAGAGTCACGCCCGACCACAGATTTTCTAGAAGCTGACGCGGAGAGCCGGTGGGTAACACTCCACCAGCAGCGTCGAGGTAAGACCGGTCCTCAGCGGAAATGGAAATATCAAAGCGTCAGGGCAGTGTTTGTGTTGATCATGATCACATTTCCATTGCCCTCAAGCAAGCACGGACCTTAGTTGGCCACGAAATCTGGTCAAAGGTTTAGTAAGCCAACGCGATAGAGCAATGAAACAGCTTGACCTCGCCATCTAGGAACGCGGGCGCGGGGAGGAGTGGTTCAGGACTTTCTCACTTGCGTATCATCCATGTTGCGAAAATCAAAAGGCACATGATCTGCAAGGTTGGGAGAAAAAAGGATTGAGTGCTGCCTAACCCATCTAGGTCACGTGTCGTCGAGCAGAGTGGCAGACCAACCACAGTGGGATTTTGAGTCATACTCGTTGGTCGTACCTTCCCGCGCAGGCGTCGAGGGCCAAGGGATTCTCATGCCTGGTCTTGCCTGTTGTCGAGTTACGGGATCAGGAAGCGATACGCTGTCAGAGGTTCGTCTGCCTGTTCATGTTGCCCCCTTTGCGAAGATTGCAGGACTGCGCAACTCGGTGCGAGCCGAATGCTGCAGCGAGCAAGACTTGTGAACGCAGAGGCAGCGTATGCGAGTAGTTGTAGCAAGACCTTGAGTCCCCAGAACGGAGGTCGGTAGTTCTCGAGGAATGTGTATGTGTACTCTGGGAGTACTCTGTGGGTGCAGAACTTGTCTCTCTGAGTCTGTACCATCTGCGATAGATTTGGTGCTGGTACGCAGGTCAGGACGTAGGTAGCTGTGTATGCCCTATCTACCTATCTACTTGGTGTACCTATGTATGTAGGTAGCCCGATGGTGCCCATACATGCATGTGTCTACCTATGGTCCCTCCCCCTCCTTCTCCTCCTTCCGCGGTTCGATACCTAGGCAGTGCAGATATCAAGTTCACCTCGTTGCAGACAAGTAGATCAGCCATCCGTCCAGCCAAGGTCTCGAACGCGGCGTTGAAAAGACTCGATCGACCTGGGCTGGTCCCCATGTTCTCGTGCATGACTTGGCTGCCCAGTGCGAGATCAATATCAATCATTCAAGGATTAAATGAACCCTTCCTTCCTTACTTTTTTCCCTTTCCTCGCACGTCATCGAGGACCAAGTACCACGAACCACGGAGAGGAAATAAACAAAGAGATAAAGAGGAGGGTGTGGAAGGAATGAAAAACCAGACAAGATCTCTCTCGCGTGAGAGAAGGAGAAGGGGGAGGGAGGGAGAGAGAAAGAGAGACAAACACCCATCCTACTCGGTAGATATCCAAGGGTAAGGAGGAACGGAGAAAGAAAAAAAGTGACAATGGTAAGGTAGTGGGAATAGGTCCATAGATACTTGTGTACCCAAGTGCCACCTAGCCGACCCTTGCAAGATCTGTCCTTTGTGGTTTTCCACGCTTGCTTTCAAATCGAATGAAATCCCACATCCCCTCCACGCCTCAAAAGGGGGTTCGTGTGCGCCCATCTCAGTCTCTGAACGCTTAGCGTCCTCCTCGCCCCAGGACGAGAACGCGTCTCAGAGAAAAGAAAAGAAATCCTGAAAAAGTCCAAGGATAACCATCTCAAAGGACGCGCCGCGTGCCAGTCCGTGCTTCTCTCTTTCCCTTTCCCTGTTGCATGGGCGTGTATGTGTCTGCGAAGGACACCGGCTTCATCTCCCATCTTTTCAACCTTCCCTCCCACGGTTCTCAGTCGCTGATGGCTCCAACCCAGCTCTTGTTGATTGTGTTTTTGTCTATCCCGCCTGATCGCTTTATCGCGGACATGAACTCGCTTTCCTTGGTGGACTCTCATAGCAGTCTAAAACAACTTTTCGGCTTCAGCCTTGCGGTGGTGAGCGTGTCGCCATCTGCTCCCCTTCACAAACCCAACCACAGCTCCAAGCTCGGACCCATTCTTGTAAGAAACGCCCTCATAATAAACATCCCAACCTTCCTCGGCCTTACTCGGGACATCAAATCGCCTCTCACGACCTCTCGTAACTCGTCTTGGGGCCCTGTTCGTAATAATGTGCCATCTCCAGCCCGGCCCTCTTAAACCCGCATTTGACATAGAACCCTTCGTTCGCCTCACTGCAATCCAAGATACTCTTGTAACAGCCCACTCTTTCAGCGACCGCGTCCAGTGCCTGAATGATCCTCAATCCCAGCTTCTTACCCTGTTGGTTCTTTGCCACCGCAATGTCCTCGATATGGCCCACGAGGCCCATGTTGTGGATGAACTTGCGCTCCACAATCACAGCACCGGTGCCCACGACGGTCGACGTCTCGTCACAGATGACCAGGATGTAGTAGGTGTCGTTGCGCGAGGAGATGAAGTCATACCGGGCATTGAACTCGGCCAGGGTGGGTTCGCCCACTGTGGTGAGAACGCGGAGTGTAGGGAGGAAACCTATAGGCCCGAGGAAAATATGATTAGAATCAGTGCTGCCAGAGCGAAGGGCAAGAAAGCTAGGGGGAGAAACGGGACAATGGAATATCTAGAAAGAGACATACCTCCATAGTAATCGCTTCGTCGCAGAGGGCGAATCGAGTAGCCCTCAGGCAGTTGCGACATGACTTGTTCAGAAATAAGGGACTGGGAAAACAGTGGCGGGTCGTCTTCGTCCCTCAGGTTGGCCGGTTTGCCATTTTGAACCAGTCCATCAACTGCGGTCGATGCAGGCACTGAGGTAGTCACGGGGACCGGCGTGGGTGTAGTACCGTTTGTATGTGTGGCAATTCCCGCAATCCTGTTCACAACCCCGTTGACAGTCGCGGTCGGCGTAGGCACAGGCTCTGTCTCTGTAGACGCATTGGTAGTCACTGGAGCTTGAACGAGTGACACTTGTGTGGCTGCTTCTTTGGAGATGGGAGTAGAGCCCTCGGTCACTGAGTTTGACGTCGACAGAAGTGTCGCTTCGGTAGGTGTCTGTAGGTCGGCCATTACTTCTTTATTGGCCGGGTATTGTGTAATTTCTTTTTCTCTTTTCTCCAGATGTAAGCGATCTAGTCCGCAGGTGCCGATAGGACGGTATCGGTTGCAGGAGACACAATGGAGAACAAAGAGGACAAGACGGTGAAGTTCTAACTCGACTATGGGGATTTCGACAGAGTGGAGGTCAAATGGGTCTGTTCAGATAGTGTGGTGCTGCTTGTCTTGGTGTTTGTTTATCTGCGTCGCCGGAGTGAGGGCGCAGGGGGCGGGGAGTAGATTTTTTTGCTTGATAAGGGAGCGTGTCAATGGGTAATTGAGAAGAGATGGTCGTTGTTAGTAGAGGAAATTCAAAGCTCTTCGAGTGCAGGAGTTAGTTGAAGCAAACCTGGCTTCACCAATATAATATTTTCAGCCCCTTGCTGGTGTCAGCCGCAGCCGTCAGATCAGCTCTGCGGCAATACCTCGACGTTCCAGCCGCTGAAACATTCTTGCATTGAGATTTGGGGTTCAGCCTCGGCCGTGTTGCCCAAAAAGCCAAATCTCCAGGGGTTTTTGGCACATGGAGCTATAAATATATCCAGCCAACAGCCTTATCAATCACCACCCCCCATTTGCCCCTTTACCCTCTCCAGACTTTATTTGCGTCTTTCTCTATCCATTTACCCTGTATTGTTCTATTGATGCAAGAAATCGATCCGGTCTGGTGCGTCTTCTGGCAAAGAGCAGATTTGACGGAAATCCCCGAGTTGTGCTCCTCTGTTGGATAGAGTGTTTTGGAAGCTCTCCAACGAGACAGAGCCTTCTACGTGGCTGAATGGGACTATGTCGGTAAATCTGGTCAAGTCAATCAGGCCGTCATTGATGAAGAGCCGTACGGCATGGTTTCGCCCTGTTGCGGTCATCTCTCCATCTGTCTCACAGGTTATGCGTTCGAATATCAACCGTCCCCCCATTGGAACCACGTCACTGGTCTTCCACTTCCGCTCGGGCACAAGCCTGTCAGAAGGTAGATGACCCAAGTCCAAAGATTCATCAAAGATGCCCAACGCGGCCAACGCAGGAACAATGTCGCCGTCATGGACAAAGCTGAAGTAGACGTCTTTGGACGAGTGATTGGACATGAGTTGCTGAGTCGCGTTGAGCCACAGCCAACCCATTATTGCACCAAATTTGTTGCCTGGGCCAGCACGATAGTAGTGTAACAAGTCTCGTGCATATTCAAATTGGAGCCACTCATGTTGTTCGAACACATCGCACCATGGGCTCTTTCCCCTCGCCAGGATCTCGAAACCGCACATTTCCATCATGCCTGTGGCAATCTGTCAGTCTGCGTTCCATCTTCATACGTGCGACTGACGAAAAGGTCGCTCGAATGCGACAGAGGGTCAGCGAAGTAAGCCGAACATACCATAGATGTCGAGGGCGCTGAATGCCATTCCTTGTGCATCGTTGGCGAGTCTCTCGGCGATGGGTCGGGAGAATGTGCTCTGCCACTCGGCCAGTTTCATGTGTCCATGGCCGCGACCGTGCCTTTTGTCCTCGCGGTAGCTGAGACAGGAGTCTCCTGGTGTAAGTGTGTTCGCGCCTCGAGCTCCATCCTCCGGAATTATCACCAGCTCCGCGGAACCATCGGACTTCCAGTCTGGGCCGAAGAATCCACTAGCGAAATGCTCCGCGGTCTCGACGTCCCGGGGAGAGCTGCAAGACCAGATGTTTGTCCTGCGGCCGTCGGGTATAAGGTGATTGTACCGTTGCCGTAAGATCCTTCCCGTGTTAGAGGCCTGTCTTGTTCCAGCATATGGTCCAGTTGCAGTTATATTGCCGAAAACAGGAATCGAAAGATCTGTAAAGTAGGTCCACTCTCTCAGGAAGGATAGCGATCCTGTGAGATTTACCGACGGATCCTGAAGTCGGCTGAGGATATCAATGTGGCCTGCTCAGGGGTGTTAGTGCCTCAGCTTGTTTAGATCGCCCAGGTAACTCACGAGAGCCAGCAGCCTTTGTGGGGTATCGTTCAGCATGCCGTGATAACTACAGACGTCAGCACGAAGGGGGTCCTGGCGTATCGACCATGCTCTCGGTGTATGCCTCACCATGTGAACTTGATCAATGGAGCATTTCTTGGGTAATGGCGAGTCATAATAGTTTACGCTGTGTATTTTGCGAATCCACGGACTATTACCACCCAGATGGTGGAATATATTCCACAGAGCAGGAAAAGCCGCGCTGCACAGACCCGCCCGAAGCAGAAAAGGAGAAGCCGAACAAGTACCATTCTGGATGTGTCGCAATAGAGGGAAGCCGAGGAGTACTGCTAAGAAGATGAGGATCAATAAGAACACCTTCCGATGGTAGAGCCTCCGAGACCGCTGCTCTCGCTGGAGTTTGAAAGTTGTAGAGGCCATAGGGAGCAGATTTGATCTTCCAGGGAGACCTTCTGTCCAAATCATCAGGCGAGAGATTTCCTGTCTCTCAAATTTGTCTTTAGGGGATTCGATTCGTTGTCGATGCGGTCAGTCTATCGTGTATCCCTATCCTATGGCCGTGGGGACATTGCGGGCTTCACTTTCAACTTTGAACAGTGCTGGACGCCTTCCAGCATTGCATGATTAATTCCAAGCCACAAATACTCTGGTCAATGCCCCCCAAACATGGACCCCCCAACGGTGCTCGTGGCAGGAAGCCTGAAGAGGTACAGAGAAGATGGGGATCTAGGGAATCAATGGTGGTGAAACAAATGAATATTCCAAGTCGAAGATTCCCGTAAGAGGACCAAGCACAAACGGATATCTGCCCAGATTTCGGCTTCTCGTGTTTCCACCCGTTCGACAGCGTCCATTTCCACCATCGCCGTGGCCCAAGTGGCTTCATTGTTCTTCATTCAGACGCAGACGTGCACACACCCTCTGTCTCCTCCTCTATTCGCCTGCTCAGATGATCAGACTCAACATCGGCGAGAGAACTTGTATTCCCGGGAGATGACCGGTTACTCGTGGTCACGGTCTTTTCGTCTGCTGGTATAGGGACTCCGGGTTATCACACGCCGAAAGCGAGGATCTTGACCGCCAATAGAAACAGCCTGAAAGCGGCTTCGAATCCCCCGCATGTGAAGAAGAGGCATGATGCTGAGGGGAGAAAAACACGGGCAAGGATGGCGACGGCGCAGTTACCGATTGACTGTGCCGCTCTCGGAGGTGGTTTGTTCAGCGTGATGAAAAGATGGATTATTTCACGAAGACATTTTCCTTCGGTGCGCAGTTTGTCCCTTCTTATCTACAGCTGAAAATTGACATACTCCTAGATATATTTCAATCAACATGGGCTCTACAAATCCAACGACCCTCGTCCCACCTCCAGGCGTGTATTGTCCTGCGGTCACTTTCTTCGATCCTGACACCGATACCCTGCTCCCAAATGAACAAGCACAATACTATTCCTACCTTGCAAATTCGGGATTGACAGGACTGGTTATCTTGGGGACCAATGCAGAGACCTTTCTACTCACCCGGGACGAACGATCTGCACTCCTGCGGTTAGCACGCAAATCGGTTCCTGAGAATTACCCTATCATTGCCGGGGTCGGAGGCCACTCAACAGCACAAGTACTTGAGCACATCGCTGATGCCCATGCTGCTGGAGCGAACTATGTTCTCGTGCTCCCTTGTGCATACTTTGGCAAGCAGACCACACCCACCGTCGTCCACAACTTCTATGCCGCTGTCGCGAAAGTCTCTCCTCTTCCCATCCTCATCTATAACTTCCCTGCCGTGTGTAATGGCCTCGACTTGGACTCGGATGCCATTGCTGCATTGGCGCAAGAGTTCCCGAACATTGTTGGAGTGAAGTTAACCTGTGGTTCGGTGGGAAAGATCACACGACTCTCGGCCACCTTCCAACCCGACCGGTTTGCGGTTTTTGGTGGGCAGTCAGACTTTTTAGTTGGTGGACTGGCAGCTGGATCAGCCGGTTGTATTGCCGCTTTTGCCAACATCTTTCCGAAGACGGTTGTCAAAGTCTTTGATCTGTGGAAGATGGGTAAACATGATCAGGCATTGGCACTGCAGAGACTCTCTGCTCATGCCGAGAACCCTACAAAAGCTGGTATTGCCACGACCAAATATGCCGTCAGCCAGTTCAGCGCAAAGAAGGCAGGGATCCAAGGCGACCTTGAGGCCATGCTGCGCCCTCGACGACCGTACGAAGAGCCTAGTGGAGCGGTCAAAAAGAAGATTGTTGAGGCGATGTTACCAGTGGATGAGATTGAAAAGACGCTGTGAAAGTGGTGATGATCGGTTTGCTAGAAATAGAAGGACAATGGAAAGCCCTTTTCTTCTTTGACGATTCTAGGCTTCCACAGCCTTATTTCAACACAATTGTTCGAAACGCCGTGTTACCCGGTATAGCTCCACGCTGGGCAAGCCACCTCGTCAGGAGCAGATCTTTTGAATCGCCGTTCTCTCGGCTAGTTGCACCGCCAAAACAGGCGATATCGATAACATGGCCTTTAACTCGTAGTACAAGGACAGATCGGCCGAACCAGAATCGTCACCTTCTTCTTAGATGCTGATCAGCGCTGCAAACTTGCTTAGTGCCGACATGATGAGCGCCACTGTGGCTCACCAGGAGCCTCCAAGCATGGACAACTACCTCGTACACGGCACAGAAAAGAAAATACGAGCAGCTCCACTCCACTTTGATGAGTTACACGAGATCCATGCACAAATGTACAGGATGAGGTTGGAATTTGTCACCTCACAACCCGAGGCGGGGTTTGATGCTGTACTCATCCATCAGGTACATGCATGGAACATAATCCAAGCTGAATGAGGTAGGTGAAGTATCAATCCATCTGATTATATAGAAATGACAAAGTACGGCATTCTACCGAGAATATGCGCAGTCACCGCAGTTGGATCAAAGTCCCTACGTCACTTGCTTCCCCCACACCCACCAGCACCTGGTTGCACCTGCCGGATAATTTGCGCCGATGCCGCGCGTCATTGACTTCCTAAAAGATCCAAAACTGAAGGAGCACGTTGCACCTTGTAATTCCTATCAAGCAGCTAACAAGTACAGCGAAGTAAAAGACTGATTGGCACTGACTTCCGTAGAAACCCGTGACACTGGAAACTAAGGGTAAAACCTGCTTTAGAGGCACTACTACATACCTAAGTAGTAGCCAGAGTTCATGAACCCTCTTTTGGCGAGTTTAGCGTCTTTTCACATTGGTCTGTCTAGCCCACGTCTTTCTTGGGGAGCTGGGAGCTTGGAGAGCTTAAAGCTGCCACGATGCATGTGGTGTATCGCATGCAGACACGCAGATGCAGGTCTCGGTTCTTGTCTCCACGCCAGCTCTTGTCGGCATCGGCATCAAACATTCAAGATGTTGGTGGGGTTGGTACGAGTAGTTCGGTTGCTCTCTAGTCACTGTCGTAGTGGTAGTAGTATCATCCCAAGTAGTGACAAGTGACAATTCCCATCGCCATTCCCGCCTTCCATTTTTCCACCCATACTAATGAAAAAAGAGTCCCACCCTTTGTCTTTCATTTATCACTCTGGAAGTGCTCGACCTTTTCCTCTCACCTTCGCCAACATTGTACCTTTCGTTAAACAGCGGTCCAATACCCTTAATTTTGCACATAATCCCACCCTCTTCGACACTGCCTGCCCTTCCCGACCAACCCGGAAGTCGTCTCAAAACTTCACAAAAGTCCGTCGACCGGATGTCCTCGCTGTGACCTTACCGGAACTGTACCTCCAGCTCTCTGCGACCTGAGAACTTCAAAGAATGGGCTCTCAAATAAAATAAAAGAATATCCACCACATTTATTCACGAAATAATCCCAGCCAGACTGGTGATTGCTTCAAGCTGCGCACCACTGAGCCCACCACACTTCCTCTGGTTATGTCAAGAGTTCCCAAAGCTTAGACCACCACTCACTGGAAATTGACGAGACCTGGTCGAACACTGTTCATTCCGAGAAGTCGGCCGTCAGCCCTCTGGCAGTCATGATGTCGGTGCTGGGGCGCACCATGTACTCATGGTTGACAGCATGGTCGCTTGTGGTGATGTTCCTGGGATTGAATGTGCAACGGGTAGCAGCGGACAATACCAGATGGATACAGTATACAGGCAACGACGGCACCGTCTACCTCGACGACAATAGACGCCCTTCTTTGTACACTCAGGATTTTGGGGATTGCCAGGGCGACTCACTCATCAATGTCACCCGGTTCGATGCGGCCTACTACAAGGACAACATGACCGTTCTCTTTCACCTGGAGGGAAATTCCGCCCTGACAAACGAGAGTCTGATGCGTGAGTTTTTATTCCCCCAGATTAAAGTGCTGACATTCCGGCTGACTGAAATATCACAGTATATATTGGCGTTTTTGCTTACGGAGAGTCCCGTTTTAATCTGACGTTCAATCCATGCAACGCCAATATCAACTCCCTCTGTCCTCTTAACTCGTCTATACCCATAAACGCGAATGGCATTATCCCTGTGGCACCATCGGACGTGGCCAATATTCCCTCTATTGCACTGACCATCCCCGACTTCGAAGGACAGGCAATTCTCCGAATTTTTGCCAACTCGACCGAATCTCAGATTGCTTGCTTCTCTGCTGTGGTGACCAATGGAGCTTCTTTCGCGCATCCGTCGGCCGTGGCTTCTGTCCTAGGCGCATTCGCCGTCGTCGCCTTGATCTCTTCGGCGGCTGTGGCCATGTATGGACATGATATTGCTGATACTCGGAAGCACTATGCCCACTCGGTCTCCATTTTCGTGGTGTTCTCCGTCTATCAGCACATCTTCTTCACTGGAGGACTCTCTATGAATTGGCCGAGTGTCTTGGTCTCATTCTGGAGTAATTATGCATGGTCAGCTGGGATCATCTACAGCGAGAAGATGCAGAATTCGATCAACCAGTTCATTGGTAAGAACTATGGAAACATCAGCATGGTTGGCGCTGCTCCCAATGGCCAAAATGCCGTTGGCCTCGGAGGCGGCTATGAAATCACACAGATCTACAAACGAGCGGCTCCAACCTCGTTTGGTATGGGAGATTTGCTAAAACGACAAGCCACGAACAC